TATGGAGGGGGATTCTCCTTCCAAACAAACTCTCCTCCCTCTCTCCTCTTCCCTATCTTCTATAAGCCAACAACAGTTTTTAATAAAGGTATGTAACACTGATTTAATTGTTCATGTATTTATTTTATTTAGTTCTCATTGTTTTGTGTATGTAAAACTATAATTAATCTCTAAAAAATGTATTGTTTGTGAATATTTTTTGGGTGTCTGGAACGGATTAACTGTATTTACTACATTATTTCTCATGGGAATAATTATTTCAGTTATCAGCCATTTCCATTTTAGGCCGGCCTTCTGGAATGGATTATGGCCGATAACCAAGGGTCCACTGTAATCTCATACATTCCCCTCTTTGCTTCCACAGACAAAGTTCGCTGTCTCCACAGACTCCTAAGTAGGCCACTCGCCCTTTTTCCATCATCCTTCATAGACCCATCTGCTGACATGTCCAATCCCAAATATCTGAATACATTCACCTCCATATTCTCTCCCACCAATCTGATATCCAGTCTTTCATCACCTAATTTTTTTTATCCTCATTACCTTACTCTTTCCTATATTCACTTTTAATTTTTTTATCTTACATACCTTACCAAACTCATCTACCAACCTCAGCAGCTTCTCTTCAGAATCTTCCAAAAGCAGTGTCATCAGCAAAGAGCAACTGTGACAACTACCACTTTGTGTTAGGTTCTTTATCCTTTAGCCTCACAGCTCTTGCCAACACCGGCACATTCATTTCTCTTACAGCCCTATCTATAAATGTAGTGAACAACCACGGTAACATCATACATCCTTGTCTAAGGCCTACTTTTACTGGGAAATAATCCCCCTCTCTCCTACATACTCTAACTTGAGCCTCACTATCCTCATAAAAACTCTTCACTGCTTTCAGTAACCTACCTCCTATTCCATACATTTACAACATCTGTCACATTGCCCCCCTATCCACCCTGTCATATGCCTTTTCCAAATCCATAAATGCCACAAAATTCTCTTTACCCATATTTAAACACTGTTCACCTATATGTTTCATTGTAAATGCTTGGTCTACACACCCCCTACCTTTCCTAAAGCCTCCTTGTTCATCTGCTATCCTACTCTCTGTCTCACTCTTAATTCTTTCAATAATAACTCTACCACACACTTTACCAGGTATACTCAACAGACTCACGAAATCGTAATGACACAATTGCAAACAAACCATACCCCGGCCGGGATTGAACCCGCGGTCAGAGAGTCTCAAAACTCCAGACTGTCGCGTTAGCCACTAGACCTAGTGGCTAATGCGACTGTCTGGAGTTTTGAGACTCTCTGACCGCGGGTTCAATCCCGGCCGGGGTATGGTTTATACTCAACAGACTTATTCCACTGCAATTTTTGCACTCTCTTTTGTCCCCATTGCCTTTATACAAAGGAACTATGCACACTCGCTGCCAATCCCTAGGTACCTTACCCTCTTCCAAACATTTATTAAATAATAGCACCAACCACTCCAAAAATATATCCCCACCTGCTTTTAACATTTCTATCTTTATCCAATCAATCCCAGCTGCCTTACCCCATTTCATTTTATCCACTGTCTCACGAACTTCCCCCACACTCACAACTGGCTCTTCCTCACTCCTACAAGATGTTATTCCTTCTTGCCCTATACACAAAATCACAACTTCCCTATCTTTATCAACATTTAACAATTCCTCAAAATATTCCCTCCATCTTCATGATACCTCTAACTCTCCATTTAGTAACTCCCCTCTCCTATTTTTAACTGTCAAATCCATTCATTCCCTAGGCTTCCTCAACTTATTAATCTCACCCCAAAACTTTTTCTTATTTTCAACAAAATTTGTTGATAATGTCTCACCCACTCTCTCATTTGCTCTCTTTTTACATTCCTTCACCACTCTCCTAACCTCTCTTTTTCTCTCCATATACGTTTCCCTCCTTGCATCACTTCTACTTTGTAAAAACCTCTCATATGCTAACTTTTTCTCCCTTACTACTCTCTTTACATCATCATTGAACCAATCGCTCTTCTTCCCTCCCGCACCCACTTTCCTGTAACCACAAATTTCTGCTGAACACTAACACTACATTCTTAAACCTACCCCCATACATCTTCGACCACATTCCCTATACTCTCACTAGCCCATCTATCCTCCAATAGTTGTTTGTATCTTAACCCTAACTGCCTACTCTTTTAGTTTATAAACCTTCACCTCTCTCTTACTTGCGGCTTCTATTTTCCTTGTATCCCATCTACCTTTTACTCTCACTGTAGCTACAACTAAAAAGTGATCTGATATATCTGTGGCCTCTCTATAAACATGTACATCCTGAAGTCTACTCAACAGTCTTTTATCTACCAATATGTAGTCCAACAAACTATTGTCATTGTGCCCTACATCATATCTTGTATACTTATTTATCTTTTCTTAAAATATGTATTACCTATACCTAAACCCCTTTCTATACAAAGTTCAATCAAAATGCTCTGATTATTATTTACAAGGCACCTCAAACTTACCAACTACACCCTCTCTAAATGTTTCCCCAACTTTAGCATTTAGGTCCCCTACCACAATTACTCTCTCACTTGGTTCAAAAGCTAATATACATGTATATAATGTATACAGGAGAAGGGGTTACTAGCCCACTGCTCCTGTCATTTTAGTCACCTCATAGGACACACATGGCTTATGGAGGAAAGATTCTCTTCCACTTCCCCATGGAGAATAGAGGAAATAAAGAAGAACAAGAGCTATTAAGAAAAAGAAGAAAAACCTAGATTCTTCTTTCAATGTACCAGCCATATTCCACTGAGGCAGGGTGGCCCAAAAGGAAAAACGAAAGTTTCTCCTTTTAAATTTAGTAATCTATACAGGAGAAGGGGGTTACTAGCCCCTTGCTCCTAGCATTTTAGTCGTCTCTTACGACACGCATGGCTTATGGAGGAAAGATTCTTTTCCACTTCCCCATGGAGAATAGAGGAAATAAAGAACAACAAAAGCTATTAAGAAAAAGAAAAACCCAGATGTGTGTATGTATACACACATACAGTGGGCCCCTGAGTTTCGTGATTAATCCATTCCAGAGAGCCTGCCGAAAGTCGAAATTCACGAAACTCGAAACCATTTTCTCCATAAGAAATAATGGAAATAAAATTAATCCGTTCCAAACACCCAAAAACACTAAAATAAATTTTTTTTTTTTTCAAATTAAATAAAGATTTATATACTGAAATCAATGAGAAATCAAGTACATGCATATAAAAAAATAATAATATTACACTTACCTTTACTGAAGACTTCTGGGTGGATGGAAGACGGGAGGAGGGGATAGGAGGAAGGTGTGCACTATTGTTTGGAAGGATAATCTCCTTCCATTAGGACTTTAGGTAGCAAGTCCTTATCTGGGGTTACTTCCCTTCTTTTAATGCCACTGGGAACAACTTGAAAGTAACTGGGCCCCTGACGCACAAAATATCTGTCCAGAGAGGTCTTTTTCTGGCGATTTTCCTGAAGTGGGACACAACACTGTCATTGTACATGTTGCAGATATGGCATGTTTCAGCTTGGTCAGGGTGATACTTTTCAACAAAACTTTGCAACTCATTCCACTTGACACAAATCTCCTTAATCTTTGAAGAAGGCACCTCATCCACTCCCTCTTCCTCCTCCTCTGAAGCAAGTTCCTCAGCTGTGGTCTGATGCTGTTCCAGTTCAAATTCAAATTCAAAGTTTATTCTCTATAAGGATTACAATGCTGAGTTTACAGAATTTGGTTATTGTATTGTTTACATGTAGTAAAATAATAATTACAGAGTGTACCACTAGAACACCTAGCATGGCTAGGCATTTCGGGCAGACTTAAATTAAATCTTAAGTTTAAAATATTACAAAATTATGAGGTAAGTTGGTATTATGGCTAAGTGACTAAATACTAGTTTGTGAGTTTAGCAATGTGAATGCTTTTGATTTGGCACTATACATAGTTTCAGTATTGGAGTATCACAGGCCAACTTATGACTAGTTAAGATTCATTATTTTGAGATTGAGATTGATATTTCTGTTTATGGTCAAATGGGTGAGTGAGTATAAGTGTTAACCACCAGGTGGTATTCGTGTAATTAGTTGACAGGGTGTATCAGGGAGATAAGATGTTTTCTGATGGTAGTTTTGAAGGTGATGAATGTGTCTGCAGTTTGAAGCTCTTGCAGTTCGTCAGTGGTTAGCTTTTCCCTGTGGTCCTCCACCAACTCTTCCACATCCCCGTCACTTACCTCCAACCCCATGGACTTGCCCAATGCCACAACACCTTCCACAACAGGCAGAGGGTCAGCAGGAACAGGGTCTGCCTCAAACCCTTCAAAATCCCTCTGGATCATGTGCCTCACTTTATTTACCAAAGGGCTTGCACTAGCTTTCCTTGGGTCCATGATGACTTATTTAGCAGTTGCAAGCACAAAAAGCAATGGATTATTATGAAATGTATTGTATGAACCTGCGGGGTGATGGTCACGTGTTGGTAAACAATGGCACACTGAGCGTGAATGGCGTGGGAGACTGGCTTGGTGTGCGCGGTGACGGGTGGACGGGTACCAGACGGTCTCCGAAACACGAGTCTAATCACGAAACTCGAGGCCAAATTTTGCCAAAAAAACTCGCCTAAGGTCGAATTTCACGAAAGTCGAGGCTGCCGAAACTCGAGGGTCCACTGTACATGTGTGTGCATGCCTGTGTAGTGTGACCTAAGTGTAAGTAGAAGTAGCAAGATATACCTGTTATCCAGCATGTTTATGAGACAGAAAAAAGACACCAGCAATCCTACCATCATGTAAAACAATTACAGGTTTCTGTTTCACACTCACTTGGCAGGACGGTAGTACCTCCCTGGGTTGTTGCTGTCTACCAACCTACTAAGTAATTTACACATATGTTACTATGCATGATAACTGTACTTATATGAACCTGTACCTAAATAAACCTTACTTACAGGAGAGTGAGCGCCGAGGACAGGTCTTGGGGTGTCAACTAGCCACTGCCCAGGCAACAGCTGTGCCCTCACAGCGGCTCCTCTACCGCCTGGGTTATGAATCCCTCTACACAATGGACTACACCACCTTTGAGATAGCTGGTGACCATGTGTTTGACATGGACAGGATGCTAGGAACACCATCTGCTAAAGTTATGGCTCGGCTCATAGATCAAGAGGTCAAGAAATAACAAGTGTGCTGGAGTATTAATGTGATGATTGTTTCAATAATCATAGTTAATAGTTGTTACTGCAGAAAGTTTACATTGCAAATAATTCTGATGTAATATGCCTTTATTTTAGTTTTTAAGAGAATTTATTCTAGGCAGCATAGAGATGGGTCCCCCCTCCAAAACAATTATAGTACAGTATATTCTTTATACAAAAATCAGTTAAGGTATACCAGATGTAAATTAATGGAATCACAGAGTGTAGTGATCCCTGTACTGTATTTATACAATACTTTTACACTATATTAATAAAATGTACAACACTTAAAAGACAGTGTACATGCACAATATAAATAAGATGTACACAACTTGGAATAAATCCATTACATAACAAAATACTTGGGATCAGTAACCAATATGCATAGAAAAAGCATTGGACCATTCTCATAAGCTTCTACAGTTTACTGTCAGCAATCAGCAGAATTGTAATACACTGAACCTTGCAACAAAATAATTCACCGCAAATCACACTTCAGAGACGTCCCTCAAGAATCTAAATCTTCTAATTCTTGACCTTCCTGGTATTTACTACATAATAAAATTAAAAACTATTTTTTTTCTCTCTCTCTCCAAGATACACATATAAGTGACCATCTCAATGTTAGTCTTTCATCTCACAAAAATGTAAATAATTCAAACTTTTCTTTACATGCTATAATCTTCCAGTAGCCTGAACATTCACCTCAGTGGTTTAACTTCTCAATGCTCAGAACATCAATGGAGCACTAGCCTTCCCTCTATCCCATTATTCTGTGCTGTCTGAAACTCCACAAGACCTTCCCATTATACATTCCTTCTACATAATTATTTCTTAAACTTGAGTGGGAATATTCTGTTCCAGTATGTCATCAACAAAATGCCTTCAGTGTGCATGATTTTCAGTAATGTATGTGCATTATAAACTGGACGACATAAAACTGTTGGGCTTCCAAGTGTGTGCAGTTGCTACCGACAGTCTCAAGAGACTGCAACGTGCAATATAGCAGGCATGCAGTCTATATTTACAAAGCTAAGCTCAGTGTTATCAACAATGTTATATATATGTAATACTGCTTAAATATGCAGCAGTGTTGTATACAATACACTATACATAAGTTATTCTAGTGTAATGTATTGTCATATATGTGTACGGTATACAATATATTAGGAAAAATTATCTTAAAATATAGTAACAAAATATAATGACTTTTTTGAACAAAACAATTTTCTCTTCAGTCAAATGAATGAGATCATAATTTAGCTCTGTATACAGTGCCATTTACTATGTTGTGATTAAGAGCCTACAACATTTTCCTTTACATCAGATATTTTGGGGTATAATATGTCAGACAGGTGGTGGGCAATGTTTAGGCACCTACCCACCTTAGTCAGGTCACACCACCTACATCTTAATTAAACATGTGATTGATGGTTAATAAACTCTGGCTATGTTACCTGATTATTCTTTACCCACACTCCACACTTGGCAAAGAGAGTCAGATTACAGCCTACTGAGTCTCCAAGAATGTCATTAGGATGTGGCCGGGGTTAAATACAGGGAGGGACAGACCTGTAACATGATAACTAAGTCACACACCAGCAGTAGGTCGCACCCATACTCCAGGCGATGCTAGTCCTGTAGCTTAAATAACAGTCTTCCAGCAACAATAAGACATCTTTCAGAGGTGCTTCAGTTATTGCCTCCCCCCCTATACCCCCAACCCTTAATCTAGGACTAAAAGTACACCAGTTTTGCCATGTGCATGAAACAGAAGCCTTTTAAATACAGTACATGTTTTGTCGCATGTGTGAAACATAAGCCCATTTAATAAATGTATGTCATTTGTGTGAAACAGAAGGGCATTTAATAAGTGTTTGTTATGTGTGTAAGACAGAAGCCAATTTAATAAATGTTTTGTTGCGCGTGTGCGTGCGTGAAACAGAAATCCGCTTAATAAGTGTTTTGAATTCTGACAGGCTTGATTTTTTTTTTTCCTTTTGGCTCATGAACACTGATTAAGACAGGAGAAGTAGTAAAGTGTAGCCAGCAAGTGGTAAAGACACTCACAGCAAAATGAGACCTTATTATCATGATGTTCCAACTACAAGAGGCTTTATGAAGTACATAAAGTCTCATGTAGGTGAAATATTGGACTAATATTTGTCTACTTTTGCTGTATGTGTCTTCTTACTACTTAATAAGATGGAAGGTTATTATTATTATTATTATAAATCAAATTAAGCACCAAACCAGTAAGAGTCATACAGTGCTGCACAGATGGCAGATCAATCTTACAAGCTTCGACTAGCATTCGGTAATCACTGAATGCATATTTCTAATGGTTCTTATTCCCAAACTATTTCCCATTCAATTCAGGATGATTTGTCTGAGACCAGACCATGGGGCAATGATCCATGGAACCATTAATAGATGTAGTGGGCAGATACATATTAGAAGATAAACTTTTCAACAACAAACAAACCATATCCCACCCAGGCAGGGTGACTTAAAAAGAAAAACAAAAGTTTTCAAATTAAGTAATTTATACAAGAGAAGGGGTTTAAAAGGTAAACATTATACTATAAAACATGAAGACATTCTTACTGTACCATTTGCATTAAGAGCAGCAGTTTCCAGAGGCCCCATCCAAGCATAACGATATGCAAACCCATCCTTCATCATAATGTCCACGCCCTCAGCAGACAAGACGCCATTTTCTACCAAGCGTTTGCATTCATTTAAAATGGCATATCTGTGAAATGGGAAAAATAAATATTAATGATTTGAATTAGTACATTTGTGGGGAAGTGCCAAACCAACAGAGGTCAAGAGCACATGAGGAAATAGGAGGCAATGAGGTTTGATTCAGTGAAAGGGCAACTAATCCAGTTCCTGGCATTAAGAGCCCCTTACCAAAATCATGGAACCTACCTTAAGGGGTTAATGAACTGAAGCATGTGCAGAATAATAGCACTGATAATCCAGCATCACTGGGACTAAGCAGTTGCTGGTTGTTTTATTCTGTCAAATGTTATAAACCTTCAGGGCACAGGAAACCTGAATGCTAACCTAACATTGCATAACTCAACCAACATTATTTTATTTCCCCTATATAATTCTTTTTGTTATTTAACATGATTTGAAGTTCTTGTATAAGGTTCCATGAACCACAAGTGCAAGGGTTGCCAGATTTCATCTACATATAATGACCTGTTGCAGCTTCTTCAAAGTTGTTGTTGTTCTTTCAATGCACCAGTCATATCCCACCCAGGCACGGCGGCCCAAAAGGAAAAACAAAAGTTTCTTCTTTTAAATTTAGTAATATATACAGGAGAAGGGGTTACTAGCCCCTTGCTTCCGGCATTGTAGTCACCACGTGTGACACGTATGGCATACGGAGGACGAATTATGCTCCACTTCCCCATGGAGTTTCTTCAAAGTTAGTGACATTATTTGTAAAATAAAACACCTTATAAAAAGTTACATTAGTGTGGCTAGAGCAATTCATCACTTTGTTCTTCCACTCCCTTTACTATAGTGTCTTAGGCCCTCTTTACTTTTCTTGCCCCAATTGTGACTTAACAGTGGTCCAGGATGGACTGAAACATCATACAGCTATGACTTAACAGTGGTCCAGGATGGATTGAAACATCATACAGCTATGACTTAACAGTGGTCCAGGATGGACCACTGTTAAGTATGATGTTTAAGAAAACATCATACAGTTCCTCTCCTGTGTGCAGTGTTTTGAGTGAAGAATACTTTATTCATGATCAGGTATTTATTAAAACTATAAATGTAAGAACTGTAGTTAACATATACCTGTAGTATACCTGGAGAGGGTTTCGGGGGTAAACACCCCAGCGGCTCGGTCTGAGACCAGGCCTCATGGTGGATCAGGGTCTGATCAACCAGGCTGTTACTGCTGGCCGCAAGCAAACTGATATACGAACCACAGCCCGGCTGATCAAGTACTGACTTTAGGTGCCTCTCCAGTGCCTTCTTGAAGACAGTCAGGGGTCTATTGGTAATCCCACTTATGTATGCTGGGAGGCAGTTGAAGTCTTGGGCCCTGGACACTTACTGTGTTGTCTCTGTGTACTCCTGGCACCCCTGCTTTTCATTGGGGGAGTGTTGCATCTCCTGCCAAGTCTTTTGCTTTCATAGGGAGTGATTTTCGTGTGCAAGATTGGTACTAATCCCTCTAGGATTTTCCAAGTGTATATTATCATGTATGTCTCTCACCGGTGTTCCAGGGAATACAAATCAAGGGACTTAAACTGTTCCCAGTAATTTAGGTGCCTTATCGTACTTATGTGTGCCATGAAAGTTCTTTCTACACTCTCCAGGTCAGCAATGTTGCCAGCCTTGAAGGGGGGAGTTAGTGTACAGCAGTATTCCAGCCTAGAGAGAACAAGTGATTTGAAGAGAATCATCATGGGTTTGGCATCCCTAGTTTTGAAGGTTCTCATTATCCATCCTATCATTTTTCTAGTAGATGTGGTAGATACATTATTGTGGTCTTTGAAGGCGAGATCCTCTGACATTATCACTCCCAAGTCCGTCACATTACTTTTTTGCTTTATTGTATGGTATACATACAATTAAAAAATGCATTATTAAAAACCTAAGATTATTAACCCTTTGAGGGTCGACAGGCCCTCTCCGAAACTCGTTCTCAGGGTCGGCCAAATTTAAAAAAAAAAAAAATTATTTTCTCTTGTGAAAAGATAGAGAATCTTTTCCCGATCATAAAGACACCAAAAGTTTGAAATTTGATAGAAAACTTATGGAATTATGCTCTCGCAAAGTTAGCGGTCTCGGCGATGTTTACGCATCGGCGATTTTGCCCACTTTGAGCCCCATTTTCGGCCAATTTCACTGTACTAGTCGACAAAAAACATGAATATTTCGCTAGAACTCCATTTTTTCTATCGAATGGGTGCAAGAAACCACCCATTTATGAAATTCAACTATCCAGTACAGTGGTCAGAATTTAGCAATTTTGCCAATTTCACACAAATTTCAAAAGATGCCAATTTCCGAATAGGGTCCAGAATAAACAAGAAAGACATTCCTGGGACTAAAATGACATTTCCTCTAGTCATTAGTCACGTCTCAAGGCCCCTCCTATATTCTTTTGCTTTCCACTTTGAATTTTTATTCTCACAAAAAATATAAGATTTACTGTTATGCAGACTACTGCATTAGTGTAAAAAATGGTATAAATATTATTGGTCCACTTGTGAAAGAATATTAAACTCGCCAGTTGACGTGTATTGCACGCTTGGCACGATTTGTTTACTTTTGAAGTTTGGTAAAAATCGAACATTTCTGCTACTTTGAGCTCAATTTCAAGGCACCTTTCATTGTAAAACCAGTCAAAATCATCTCAATTTCTGTAATATGTCTTCCATTCTATAAAATGAGACCAAGAAAACTAGAATACAACAATAAATACCATACGAAAATACACTGCAAAGTCGCTGATTTATTAAAAAAAATGGTCAAAGTTTTTTTTTTCTAATTATGCACTGTGTGCTGCAGGATTTTTTTTAGACTGCACACTGACCACATAGACCCATTCTTTCATATGAAGGCCTACCAGCTTTCTCCCACTAGATTTGAGGCCGCTAGAATTTATGAGTACTAGTACGTTAAAAACCCCTACGTGTAAGACGTACTAGTACGACCAAAACCCTCAAAGGGTTAATGCCAACTGCATAATTAACCCTTAAATGGTCCAAACGTATATATACGTTTTTTCAACATCTGAAAGTATGTAAAAAAATGTAGATCTTCTTTTTTTTGTTTTACATTTGAAAATGTGTAAAAAAAATTTTATCTACATTTTTTTTTGTTATATTTGAAAATATGTTAAAAAAAGTAGATCTACTTTTGTAGCACTACGAATTTGAACATCGATCTGTTTGGACCGTTTAAGGGTTAAGATATTCATTAATTTGTGCTTACTTATATAAACACAGATTGTTCTGATATAGTTTGCACTTGCATTCTTAATGAGAGAGTTTTTCTATTATATCAGATCACTTTCTAGTTGTAGCTACACTGAGAGTAAAAGGTAGATGGGATACAAGGAGAATAGAAGCATCAGGGAAGAGAGAGGTGAAGGTTTATAAACTAAAAGAGGAGGCAGTTAGGGTAAGATATAAACAGCTATTGGAGGATAGATGGGCTAATGAGAGCATAGGCAATGGGGTCGAAGAGGTATGGGGTAGGTTTAAAAATGTAGTGTTAGAGTGTTCAGCAGAAGTTTGTGGTTACAGGAAAGTGGGTGCAGGAGGGAAGAGGAGCGATTGGTGGAATGATGATGTAAAGAGAGTAGTAAGGGAGAAAAAGTTAGCATATGAGAAGTTTTCACAAAGTAGAAGTGATGCAAGGAGGGAAGAGTATATGGAGAAAAAGAGAGAGGTTAAGAGAGTGGTGAAGCAATGTAAAAAGAGAGCAAATGAGAGAGTGGGTGAGATGTTATCAACAAATTTTGTTGAAAATAAGAAAAAGTTTTGGAGTGAGATTAACAAGTTAAGAAAGCCTAGAGAACAAATGGATTTGTCAGTTAAAAATAGGAGAGGAGAGTTATTAAATGGAGAGTTAGAGGTATTGGGAAGATGGAGGGAATATTTGGAGGAATTGTTAAATGTTGATGAAGATAGGGAAGCTGTGATTTCGTGTATAGGGCAAGGAGGAATAACATCTTGTAGGAGTGAGGAAGAGCCAGTTGTGGGTGTGGGGGAAGTTCGTGAGGCAGTAGGTAAAATGAAAGGGGGTAAGGCAGCCGGGATTGATGGGATAAAGATAGAAATGTTAAAAGCAGGTGGGGATATAGTTTTGGAGTGGTTGGTGCAATTATTTAATAAATGTATGGAAGAGGGTAAGGTACCTAGGGATTGGCAGAGAGCATGCATAGTTCCTTTGTATAAAGGCAAAGGGGATAAAAGAGAGTGCAAAAATTATAGGGGGATAAGTCTGTTGAGTATACCTGGTAAAGTGTATGGTAGAGTTATAATTGAAAGAATAGCAGATGAACAAGGAGGCTTTAGGAAAGGTAGGGGGTGTGTGGACCAGGCGTTTACAGTGAAACATATAAGTGAACAGTATTTAGATAAGGCTAAAGAGGTCTTTGTGGCATTTATGGATTTGGAAAAGGCGTATGACAGGGTGGATAGGGGGGCAATGTGGCAGATGTTGCAAGTGTATGGTGTAGGAGGTAGGTTACTGAAAGCAGTGAAGAGTTTTTACGAGGATAGTGAGGCTCAAGTTAGAGTATGTAGGAAAGAGGGAAATTTTTTCCCAGTAAAAGTAGGCCTTAGACAAGGATGTGTGATGTCACCGTGGTTGTTTAATATATTTATAGATGGGGTTGTAAGAGAAGTAAATGCGAGGGTCTTGGCAAGAGGCGTGGAGTTAAAAGATAAAGAATCACACACAAAGTGGGAGTTGTCACAGCTGCTCTTTGCTGATGACACTGTGCTCTTGGGAGATTCTGAAGAGAAGTTGCAGAGATTGCTGGATGAATTTGATAGGGTGTGCAAAAGAAGAAAATTAAAGGTGAATACAGGAAAGAGTAAGGTTATGAGGATAACAAGAAGATTAGGTGATGAAAGATTGGATATCAGATTGGAGGGAGAGAGTATGGAGGAGGCGAACGTATTCAGATATTTGGGAGTGGACGTGTCAGCTGATGGGTCTATGAAAGATGAGGTGAATCATAGAATTGATGAGGGAAAAAGA